AGTCAAAACAGGTTTGTTTTTATTTTATGTTTTTTTTTTAAAGGTAAAACTTAATACAACTATAAAATGAGGAAAAATGTCAGATTCAAAACTTTCTGTCTCCAAGATTGGGGACATAGTAGTGTCTGACTGAGGGACAAATCAGAAGAGTAGATAGGGAAGGAAGACAAACCTACCACAGGAGAGTGAGTGTGGGCTGATGTGAGGGCAATACTGTGGAAACGGTCACAAGTCATTTCTTTCTATAGATGCAATTGTGTTATAAACAAGCCCACTCTAGAACTACACCAGGACAATTGTTGTGAGCCCAGCAGGGTTCCCTTTCTACTCTCTAGTGGGGACTTCCATGGTTTATGTGAACATGAAAAAGTTCATGGGATAAGGACTTGTACAGATTGGAGATTTGGTTTGTCAACTGAGGGTTCTTTAAAACAGTGGTCCCCAATCTTTTTGGCACCAGGAACCAGTTGTGTGGGAGGCAATTTTTCCACTGACATGGTAGGAGGGGGGATGGTTTATGAGAGTGCACAACCTAGATACTTCTCATGTGCAGTTCACAATAAGATTTGCATTATTATGAGAAACTAATGCCACTGTTGATCTGACAGGAGATGAGCTCAGGCAGTAATGGGTGAGTAGGGAGTAATGGGGAGTGACTGTAAATACAGATGAAGCTTAACTTGCCCACTACTCATCTCCTGCTATATAGCCTAGCTGCTGACAGTCCACAAATTTATACCAGTCTATGGCCTGGGGGTTGGAGGCTCTGCTTTACAGGTACTTCTCAACGTAATTCGTGATTAAAATCTTCACAGGCGTACTTAACAAAGGAATCCCTGAAGGAAATTTTAAGTCATAATGAGGACTGTTCAGAAATCTTTCCTCCAGCTAAGATTTGTTCAAACCTCCTTTCTCTATAGACAACACACATGAGAAAATTTAGAGCTCAATACGAAAATATCATTGATGACTTGATAGGGAAATAACCTAAAATACATTTGCTGGCATATATTGGAATATATTATCTCCTCATTTCCTGTAGGGATATTCTTATATTTTCCTCTTTTAAAGTTTGAATAGTCTCATTTATAGTAGATAACTGTGCTCTTGCTTTCAAATGTCCAGAGCATGGATCTCCTGCTCAGAGTTGAGGGGCTGGAGAGTCACATGCTGCCACCACTTGTTCCTTTATGTCTTTGTTTAGATTAGTCTTCTGTGCTGACAGGTTTAAGTTGTGCTTTCTGGAGTTTTAAATGCTGTTTAACATGTTTTTTTTTTCTTTTTTTTTTTTTTTTGGCCAGGCACAGGCATGAAAACAAGCTATATTAGGTCCTTTGGGGAATAAACCTCTATCTAGGAAGCCAAGAAACTGGTATTACACTGGAGTGCAGAGATCAACCTATGATCTAAAATATGCAAGGGAGGCTGCCAGTAACTGATGTCCTGTCAAATGGATGTATTCACCTTTTAATTCAGGCCCAGTCTTTTTCTTTGGCCTTTAGGCTACATTCATAAGACATAGATGATTGGATTTTCATAGCCCTCATGAAGGGAAAGTGGGAAATTTACATATGAATATTCATAATGTATGATTCATTATACTGTAGAATCTCTTTCAATGAACCTTTATGAGTTATTTCATTCACATTTTGAGTATTTAGCTTGTTTAATCAAAACACCCTTTAGAATACATACACTACAGAGGAAAAGACTGAATAATTTGCCCCTCTTGTTTCTTGCATGCATTCTGTTCTCCCATTGAATTATACATATTTGAGTACCCACTGAGAAATTATTTTTTCCTTACAGCTACTAACTTATTTTTCTGTGAAGTTGTTGCTCCTGATTCTTGAGATTAATGATCTGTTTGGAGGTGTCATAATATGTTCCTAAAAGGAGATTAACTTACTATTTCAGTTATTGGACATTATTTCTCCTTGACTAAGGGCTTCCAAGGAAGAAAATCCCATAATTTATTTCCAAAACAACAGTCCAGTTTTAGAAAAGGCATCTCAGGAGGAAAAAGGAAAAGAAAGAACATCTTATCTTTTGAAATTTGCTAAATCCTAAATGCTTATGTTAAGATCATCATAAAGTATTCCTTACTTAGCTAAAAAAGTATAAAATCTCTCCAACTTATAAGTCCACTTTATGGAACTCAAAGAGAGTTCAGGAACATTTTAACTCTGTTGCTTGGAACTCTGACAATCAATCATTTATTGTCAAAGAAATGCAATCTAGCCAAGTATCACAAACCCACAGCAGTATCAGTAATAATCATGCATTTGACCTAAAGTCTGTAAATTGCAATGCTATGGGATGTGCTCACAAATAGTGCCAGGTCCTCCAGTGGTGGGGAATCCTCCTGAGCTCATCCCTGATTCTGCCTCCTGGTAATGCCCTGGCTCCATCAACTGAAATGGTCCTAACTCTTCTCTAATTTTTTTCTCTTTCATCCCTATCCATGGCTCCATGTGAGAAACCATGTGTTAGAAATATATTTAGAAGCACACATTTCAAGCAACTTAGTCTGTTTCCTGTCTATAGAAAGTTGGGCTCTGACCCTGTTGACCTTCTGGGAGTACTTTCCTGACACAGCTCCCTAGAATGAAGTCTGAGCTTACTTTTTATCTAATTGTGGTCCACTGTCATGTTGAGACATGGTGCTGTTTCTAAAATTAATTATTGGTATTTGGGGACTGTCAAGCACTATGTGACAATACTACTTAGGTTATGAGAAACCCTTTTGTCTTTCTGAAAGGATCCCTCGGCACCATCATTCTCTCAATGACCTTAACAAAGTGATCACCGCCATACCCTTACTTTTATCTTTGTCCTGAAGACAGGACTTTAACATTTTATCTAGAGATCAGTAAACCTAGGCCAGTTTCATTATCTTATCCTCTACGAGGTTAGCCTAGCCCTGCTCCCATGGTGATAGCAGAGGCACAAGAGGGATTGCAGAATTATGCACATGCTTTCCAAACCTCTACTAAGTCACTCTGTTGGCCAGAGCAAGTCCTGTGGCCAAAAAAGAGTTCGAATGAGAGTCACATGGCTAAGAGCATGAGCACAGGCATAGCCGGGCCATTCATGCAAGCAAGAATAGAAGCCTAAGAGCCCACAGAGGGCCAACAAGAGAGATCAACAGGCAGGCTCCTGTCTTTCCAGCTTCACCCCATTAAAACTGCTCCATTTTGATTTCTATACTATGGTTTCATGTTATTTTTAAATTGGGGAAAAATCACTTTACCTTTAATGTAGAATTCAAGCAAACAAAACAAAACAAAATTGATAACCCCTGATCTAGGGCAAAGAGTACAACTGTCTCACATACCTTTTCCCTCTAATTAAACAGCTAAGGGAGCCAAGACTTGGGAGACAAGGTTACAGACAGGGTTACTGGGAAGTTGCAGTTTTCATAGTCAGTGGGTTTTCTATTATATGAGCCTTGTGTTGACTTTAGCAGAACCCTGTTTCTGTAATTTTCAGAAATATGGCTGGTAGCTGTGTAGGTGTGTGTATATGCGAGGGTATGAAATGGTGAGAACAAGGTCCTAGAGGGTGACAGTTAAGAACTTTGTGGAAGAGAATCTCTGTATTGGGTGGAAGAGTTGGACCCTTCTCTGACAGATGACATGACCTCCTTCAGTTCAGGGTTAACTTCTTCCAAATAATGTATGCTCTATGCTGTTTTGGAGAATTGTGTGTCTAAGCATTAGGGGGGATTTTAAAAGTTTGTTTGTTTTTAAGTGGAGGGTGCATGCGTGAGAGAGAAAGCATCCTTCCAATGGGGCATGGTCACCCCTTGATCCTGTTTCCTCCATTACTTCATGTCACCAGGATTTGAGGCATAGACATACACAAGCGTGACATGTTTTTCAAGTCACAAGGTCTATGATTCAAACCACAGTCAGCTATGTGGGATCCTGCTCCCATGTACAGCTTTTAACTATTTCGCTAAGAAGTCAGCCCTTAGGATTTGTTTTTGTTTTACTCTCACAATCTCTCTGTATTTAGTGTCACAGAGTATCCAGGGTTGTGTGGTTAGTAGGTCTCATGCTGCATTCTTTTCCTTTGGTATTATAAAAAAAAAATTGGTAAGGGTTTCTCTTTAAATTTAAGAAATGTTTGAAAAAGGGAATGAGTCGTATGAAAGGTATGGGGGGGTCTGTTTTCTGAATTACTTAATAATGTGGGCTGGGAAAGAACTGGGAACACTGTCTTGTGTAGCAGGATTTTGTTTTTTGTTTTTAACTACATGAGCAGTATTTTACTACTTGACCAGTCCCATGAACACAGTAGCTCCAACACAGGGCCTCTGGTAAAAAAAACAAAACAACAATGACAACAATAACAAAAACAAAACAACAAAACAAAACAAGACAAAAAGAATTGGTTGCAATGTGATAGGATGCTCAGAAAATGGTTTG